TGGTCTGGCGTTGGCAGCTCATGTTCATCTTGGAGTCAATAAGGAGTCCAAGATCCCTTTCTGCCTCTGCTTGAAAGCATAGAGAACTCCCCAGCCTGTATGTATGCTGTGGATTCCTTCTTCCGAGGTACAGCACCCTGCATTTGTCTACGTCAAACCCCATCCTATTCTTGTCTGCCCACTTTTGTAGTCCACCTAAATGTATTTGCAGCCTCTCTCTCCCTTCAAGTGTGTCCGCCTCGCCCCACATCTTAGTGTCATCAGCAAACTTGGACAGCGTGCTTTCTACCTACTCGTCCAAGTTGCTGATTAAGATGTTGAATAGTGTAGGACTGAGCCCGGGGGGACCCCACTGCTCACATCTCACCAGGTTGAGTACAGCCCGTCCACCACTACTCTGGGTGTGCCCCATCAGCCAATTTTTTACCCGTCCAACTGTTCAGGCATCAATGCTACAGTCGCTTAATTCATTGATGAGGATGGGGTGAGAGACAGCGTCAAAGGCCTTCTTAAAGTCTAGAAAGACTACGTCCACGGCGACACCATCATCCAAGGATTTAGTCACCTGGTCATAAAAGGCAACCAGGTCGGTCAGGCAGGACCTGCCTGGATGAACCCATGCTGATTGCCCCTGAGCATGAGCTCCCCTGCAGGCCCCCCACAGATGTGCTCCTTGATGATTCTCCAAGATCTTCCCGAGCACCGAGGTGAGGCTTACAGGCCTATAGTTACCTGGGTCCTCCTTCCTCTCTTTCTTGAAAATTGGGACCACATTAGCCAGTTTCCAATCCCCCGGCGCTTGGCCAGATGACCACGAATGTTCATATAGTCAGGCCAAGGGCTCCGCGATGACCCCTGCCAGCTCTCTCAACACCCCTGGGTGGAGGGCATCTGGACCCACAGATTTAAAAATATCTAGCCCTTCCAGAAGATCCCTAACTACATCTGCACTGACTGAAGGCCTGACAGAGCTATCCCCGAGATTGTCCCTACCTCTGGTAGATGGACTATCCCAGTCCCTGTTTGAGAAAATGGAGGCAAAGAAACGGTTAAAAATATCAGCTTTCTTGTCTGGCTTAGCCACAAGATTACCGTTTGCGTCTTGCAGGGGCCCTACATTGCCTGGTGCCCTCTTCTTGTTCCCAATGTACTTGAAAAGGGACTTTTTGTTGTCCTTAATCCTGGACGCTAGCCTGAGCTCCATCTCTGCCTTGGCCGCCTTAATAGCCCTCCTATGCTCCCAGGCCGAGGAGGAGTACTCCTCCCTGCCACTGGTTTGTATGCCTCCCTTTTAGTCCTCAGGCATTGCTGAATGCCCTTGCTGAGCCAAGGGGGTTTCTGAGCACTCTTACCCCCCTTGCTTCTCTCAGGGACTGTTATCCTGGAGCCCCAAAGGATCTTAATGTGGGCTCTAGAAGGAAAGTTCAGCTCAAAGAGTTCCCTCCCAGTGCTTATCCAGACATGGGTTTCCTTGATGGTGGTAATGTCACTGCAGCCACGCCACTTTCTACAGAAACATTACAGCCAAATGGTCATGTTGTGAGCACAAGCAGAGTGAGGGTGGGCTGGGGACTTGGATTTCACCTGGGAACATTGAGACGCTAGAGCAGCGTTTCCCAGACGTTTTTCCTTAGCATGACGCCATTTCCTCAGCATCGCTTCTCACTCCTAACTTGCAGCCTCTCTGCACCCAGGTTCCCCAACCCACAGCCCCCTGGTCCTGCTGGTGCCCCTCACTCTCCCCACATGCCCCAGGGCCTACAGCTGCCTGCCCCCCACCCACCGCAGCAGTACCTGGGCCCCAGCTGCTGCCTACAGGAAGCAGCAATTGTTGAGGCTGGAGTGCAGACCCTGCCTCTCTGCCTGTCCCCTCCCCTGCTGGCAGCATGGCCTCAGTGGAGCCTGTGGGCAGGAGGGAGGATGCAGACTGCCGGCTGCTGGCTTGGGGCTCCCCACCCTGCTGCCCTTCCCCCAGGCCTCTCCAGCCCAGCTGGTGGGACCTAGCGCAGGAGAGGGTGCCATGATGATGTGCTGCTGCTGATGTGACCCCGTTTAGGGTTGTGATCAGTTTGGGACCTGCTGCACTAGAGGAAATAGTATTTATAACTTTGCCGATGCAGCATCAAGTTAACCAACTTTCCTATCCTGTCATTGCAACGGCAGTGCCACTGTCTTTGGCTGCTTTTACCTGTGGCATGTTCTAGGGTGTTCTTGGGGTTTCTGGTTTTGTACCTTGTAGCTGTGCGTGAGGGTTTAAAGTGATGATTAGGGAAACTCTTGGGGTAAAATGTTGCCTGCAAAGGCAGCAGACTGACCTTGTGATTTTCTGAAGGTGGTGTCCTGTCTTCCAGACTTGGCTCTTTCTCAGACTGCACAGTGTTATACTATAGGAGTTCAGTGGACGGTGGTATTCTCTATCAACCTGCATTGCTGGGCAGTTAACCAACTGCTCCATTTCAGTGGATTAAAAAAAAATACTTTTGGTGGATAATATCAGCATTTCTTTTTAAGCGTTTCTTTTGACTTCTGTCAATTTTCAATTTTCAAGATTGTGCAAAATTAGGGATGTGGGAGCAGACAATTTATTAACGATAAATATAACCACTGCAGGACTGTTGCCAGTTGAGCGGTAGAGCTGTGGTCAGTCCTGGCTGTAGAGCTGTGGTCAGACCTGGCTCTGCTGGCCGGCAGCTCCCTTCTCCACTCTGTCACTTCCCCTTCCTTTGTTCCCAGTCCCCTGGGGTTTCTGGGAGTTGCAGTCCAAACTACAGTCAGCATGGTTCTGTAGGACCATCATTTGTCTTACTTACCCTTTCTATAAGTTTTGATTATCGATGATAGAAATATTTTTTTGTCAGTTGTGTGAGGTGAAATTGATGTTTATCAGTGTTTACTGATGAATCAAATCCTGCCAAGCCTATATCATGGACAAGCTGGGTACGACGCAAATACAGCAGAATTACTCCAGCTTTAACCCTGCTTCATTCTGGGTTAGTCTGAACAGTTTTGCTGCATTTGTATCTTTCCTGACTTGTCTGAGTCTGACAATTAACAACTGCTGCCCTTTTGAAACCTTTCCCTCCTGAGGCAGCTCCAAATGTATGTGTCCCCACACCCTGTGATGTCTCTCTGTGAAACAGAGGAAGGCCTTTGGTCATGGGCATCTGATTGGGTTAACCTGAGCAAGTCAGACTCTTGCAGTTTTAAAAGTTGCAAGCACATGGCAAGGGCCCTCGGGGCAGTTTAACCAGGCCCAGGAGTGGCACGTCTGCTGGTAGAGGAATCTGGACTAAATCTGTCACACTTCAAATGCCTTTCAGCGCAGAGCCTTCTGGTGATGGGGTGAAGCCATGGTATCGCTTCCCCTCCCCTATCCTCAGGTTTATGCCTGCAGCTTTCTTTGTCCCTGTGTGTCCAGAACCTTTGGGATGAAAACTTTGCTTATGTCGCTCCTGCGGTGACACAATTTAAATGAGTTCAACCCAGAAAGTCCTACAGTAAATGTGAATAATTGCAAAATCCAGGTGTTGTCTTTTTACTTCATTGTCTCTGCTGATCCCCCTGCTGACACGTTTGTAGTGCACAGATTGCCAAATGAAGGAGCATGTTGTAATGTGTACTGTGAAGCAGATCAGTCTAAGTTTAAATCTTCAGTTTCAGGAACTTTTGTGAACAGACTGAATCCGCAGGAACGCTTCACTTCAGTATTCCTGTAGGGAGCAATGACCCACCCTCGTGTGAAATTAATGCTGCGTGTTACTGCTCCTTACACAAACGAGACATGACAGTTGCCTGCTGAAGCTTTTGTGAAGACCAGATTTTTGTTCATGTCAGATCATGTGGGTTCACATTTTTGTTCCTGTTTGTATTAAGCTGGCTGGTCCTGGGTCTTGTGCATGCGCACACATATCCTGTGTTGATTTTTAAAGCAGGTGTGTACACGGGGCCTGGATTTCAGAGCTGTCAAGCACTTGGAGCTCTCCTCACTGGGACCTGTTGGTGTTCAGCCCCAACAAGCCTTGAGAGTCCACTGTTATTCCAGGATGCTGCTAGCAACTGTTGAAGGGGTTTTTTGAAAAGCTAAATAACCTTATTCTTCAAAGCTAATGTATCTAAATGTGATGCCTTGTATTTTTCAGATTCCTCTAGTGCCACTTCCAGAGTAAGTTGAAGGCGCTGCAGTGACTATCAGAAATTAACCCTTCTGTATTAATGACCTAAGCATGGACGTCTAGGTCTGTAAATGCTTTTATAGATGTGCTTTAAAACAGGGTTTGACATTTGTGACCACTGTGGGTTTATTTAAAGGATAAAACAATAAAACCTCTTGCATTTAACACCTGAAAGGGGCTAATCATGGCTTGTTTCTAGGAAGCCTTTGTAGAAATTCTAGGAATTAAGAGATAAAATTGTAATTAGAACAGAATTCTAGATTGTCCTAGAATTTTTCCATATTTTTGTACCTGTTCAGTGAGTCGGCCACGGATGATAGAAACAGAAATGTTACAAGATTGGCGAAGAGAAGTAAGGTCAGGTGAGGCTGCAAAGCAAACTAAATTTAAAGCCCTGCAAAACTGACTTTATCTGTTCAGTACTCGTGTGCTGTCATTTCTTTAATGACAGTGCAGGGGTGCGGGGAGAGACTGGGATGCAATCCATGAAGTCAGGAGATGAGCTTTGTTTTGTGTCTTCGTAATAAATGTTTAACAAGCTTGTTAAATAAACTTAGACTTTTGTATCTCACAGTCCAGCCTGGTTTTTCCAGCCTCCGTTCACTGTCCTCAGAAGACGTGTCTTGCTGTTCTGGGCTCTGCTTGGGCATGGTGTTAGGGTCTGTCAGTGCTTCTCCTTGAGAGGACACTTCTCTGCATAAGGGATTTGCACTGCACTGGTGGCAGGGGGGGCTGGTCTTGGCTCTTTTTGAGCTGGAGAGCTCCCTTTCACCATACCCCATTGTACTCTCAGCCTTGCTTGAAAACAAGGTTTATACCTTCCCTCCAGTTTGTTCCCCATAATGCATGTCCCTGAAGATAACTTCATTCCCCTCCATCTCTTCTTCTGAAGTGAGTCTGAGAAACTACTCTGATCATGACAACTCTCTGCTCCACACTTCTGGTTACAGCTTACACTGTTTATCTTTTACCGTACACAGGGAGGAGATGACTCTTGTGAACTCATTCTGAAGTGTTCACTTACTGTTGGAATACCTGAAAACACTGTGGCACAAGGCCTGTCCTAAAGTTGTAACACCTCAGATGTAGCTGTTTGATAGAGTTCTTAAATATTCATGTTCCAGAAATGTTTGTCAAGTACCATCATAAGCAAGTAACACTGCTGCCTTAACTGGGAATGTCCTGTTGCATAATGTGCTGTATATGGTAAGAAGCTTTCAAAATTACTGTCTTTAAGTCTGTTATCAAGCAAAAAAACTAAGACTTTGCCAGTAAAGAACATCCAAAAGGACAGCAGCAAAAACCTAGGAAATTGAACATTCATCCATTTATACACTGTAAACATCTCTGAAAGTTTTAGATACACTGTTGAAAACTGAATGATTTTGAGAACTCGGGGAGACCTGAGAAGACTAGGTTGGAGGAACCTGTTCTGTCTAATGCTCACAACAAACTGTGATAACTGTTGGTGCACTGAGAGCACTTGGACATTTCACTGTTTCCTTTCTGTCTCTATCCATTTGCTGTCTCTGTGGCTTCTACTTGCATCCTAACCTCAAGGGCAAGGGACAGTGGTTAGACAGCACCCAGCAGAGTGGGGCCCAGTCACTTGTTGGGGTTTCTAGATGACACCTCTAATGCAAAGAGGCCCTGGAGTTCAGAAATGGGAGTGAGACTGGTCCTGGGCAGTAAGTAAGCTTTTTGTGTGTGGGTCCCTTTAGATTGCTTTCCTGGTGCTCTGTTATGTAGCAGGTTTGGATCATTGTTAGTGTCATCATCCAGCCATGCTCCGTTCTGCAGCCATTGCCCAGTTAACCTGTTTGTGCTATGAAACGGGTGCAAATGAGCTAGTGCTGAACCTCACGTTAATGCAGATCTATCCAGTTCCATTTCAGTGATTCTCAACCGGGGTGCCACAGCACCTGGGGATGCCTTGGGATTTTTTTCAGGGGTGGTGCTGAGTGCCAAGCAATGCTACTACTTCAGGTGTGCAAATATGGTTCACAAGATGAATCCAGAGATTTCAGACACGAATCCATAGCATTAAAACCATTCTGACCTGTTGTGGGGCTTTTGGAGTTCTCTGCAACAGAAGGATTGCTCTAGTATTTTTCTGTAGTCAAAAATCAAGTAACAAGTTAAGAACTGACACTTCCCAAGGGGTACTTTGTCTACAAAGGTTGAGAACCACTGCTCTCTTTCTCTACTCTGGCTGACATAAATGCCAAATTAGTTAGTCCATTCCCCTTTTTTCCCCACAATCACTCCTGGTATTTTATAAACTAATTATTTTGCTACCTTGGAAACCATTTCAGTTTAGAGATGGAGAATTCAGATACTGGAAGGTTAGGTGAACTAGACAGAGATTAGGATTCCTGCTGCCTGCCAGAACCTGTTCAGCAAGCAAAAGTCTAACTCTGGTCTAGTGTAATCTGCTGCTGTAACTTGGCAAAACTTCACTCAACTCAATGGAGCTGCATTTACTGTCAGTAGTGTGAAAACTCAGACTCTATAGTAGTCTTCAACTGCAGCATGGCTAAAGTTATACTCTTCAGTCATAGAACAGGCAGGATTTGAAAGCTGCATTAATTCAGTGCTGTGATCTGGATTGGAAAGTTGATCTTGCAAGAGTAAAGTGGTCTTCATCTGCTATGTCTGTTCCTTTATTGGTTTCTTTGCCAAGACTGATGGGGCCAGTTGGACCAAATCCCAAGAACTGGGCAACCTAACAGCTACTAATGGTAATTTTAGAGGAGCTTGATTTGACTGAACGGGAAAGTAACATCCTAAACACTAATCCACCTCCTTGAGGCTTCAGGAAGAGGAAGTCCTAGGATGGGTATTATTTATACCCCACCATCATTATTGCTTTTCTGAGTTGAAAGAGAAAGGGGTCCAAAGCTCTCTTAGTACCCACAACAGACAGTTCAGTATGATTAAGGCTATATGACTGAGGGAAGATCAGCATCATGGCTCAAAGCAGAGTGGTGTGGTTGTGTGTGAACTATAGTGTTCTTGTACCTTTGATGTAAAAAAGCTTTTAAAATATCCTGTTTTAAGGAGTGTTAGATGGGCAGCTATAAGCACATCAATTATAGGAGAGCTAAGTGCTGCATGACACTGTCCAGGATTGCAACGTATGATTCGTATGCATGTGTTCACACACACAAATGTTCATATATGTAGGAGGGGAAGTGGGAACTTTTTCATATCATGTCCCTGGAGAGAGGCATGAAAATCTGTACAGGTATTTCTTGACTCAGGCAGACTAACTAGCTAAGTAATGTTAACTTCAGCAAAAACAGGAGCCACTTTTAGGCCCTGACTTTGCTGGCTAAATTTGAATTTCCTTCTAAGTAGTCAAACTGAAAAGCCAGCCCACCCAGCTTTCCCTTTTATTTGCTGACCTCAAACACAAAAGGCTCAAGTATATGTTTCAAGTTTATCCACAAGTGTATATGCTACATAGTTGGGTAGCACCTATGGATGCCCCTAGAGTAGGGTCATACTGAGAGACTCTGCAAAAACAGTAATACAGTCCATAGCTTGAAGATCTCAAAATGGAAAGACCAACACAGTAAGAAGGGAAACAGACACAGAAAAATAATGTGCTTGTCCAAAAGCCACAGTGGCAGAACTGGGAATGGAACTTCATGGGCCCGGTCCAAGGATCCATGTTGGAACGTAACATGTCAAGCTTGTGATTGGGATCAGGGTGTCCTTAAATCCTAGAAGCATCCCTGTTCTCTACTGTTTGCCCAGATGTACATCCTCACTATGGGTGTGCCTGCACCTCCAGCATTCAAGCTTTCTGTCATAGCAGTATCCACACAGTAGGTAAGCCGTGGTCTCACTGCTGCTCCTCATGTTCTGTGCTAAGGGTGTAAAGGGAGGGGTGCATGTCCTGCTCCATACTGCTTGACCACCTTGCTTTCCAGTTTGCAGACCACAAAAATACAAGCTAAGTCCTTAAAGTCATTTTAGAAGAGAGATTTTGTGTTCCTCTTATTTATTTTGCCCTGTTTCCATAGAGGAGGAGGTTTTCCTTTCTTTTTTCTCTCCCCTTTTCTTTTTGTTGTAGCTTTGTCACTTTTCCAGCATTGGTGGCTAGACAAAAAGGCCCAACTTTAGGGGCTATTTTTACCTTTCATCTTCCTTGCCTCTCCCTTACCTCAGGGTCAAGAGAGAGAAATCCTGCACCTTACTGACATTATGGCTTCTCCCCGGTCCCTGAGATTAAAACAGTGTCCATCCTATGGTAGTGTCTATAGACAGTGGACATGTTGAATGTCTGTACTGTTTGAGATAATCTTACGTTCTTAGGAAGTGCTTCCTATGCAGGTCTCTTATCCCCTGGACCAGAAAGGAGTGAGACCAGACTCCATTAGACCTCCAGCATAAATTTACAACCTCACCCTACAGTCCTGGGACCCACAACCTGGCTAGGTACTGGGCATCAAGCACCATCTCCTGAAAGAGACCTTCCATGTTCTTGCTTTGGAAAAGCCTGAAAAAAAGTCACGGATCTAAGGAGAAGTAATTGCATGGTTGTTGTGAAGAGCTTAGCCCAGGGCAAGGTTCTTACAGCAACCCTGATCACTACAATAGCGGACTGCTGGTTAATATTAGAGTAATGATGGCTCCCTTCCTCACCTAGTAGTGAGCAACAGACTACTTTGTGTTTTTAAAAGACTGAATACAGAAACATGCATGTGAACTGCGGTCTTATTGCATTAAAAGTTTGCTAAACAGGTTAATAGTATTTTTCCATTTAAGAGCTAAAGCTCAATACATTTCGTACCCAATATTTTTTACAGTAAAAACACCACTTCATCAGATCTGTTTCTCCTGCAAAAAAAAAAAAGTGAGGTGTGTGATTAAGGTTGTAGTATTTTATTTTGATCTTCAGATAACAGATTCTCTTCATACAGTTTTACATTTTAAAGACAGAGGTGATCAGCTTTTTGCCACATGGACAATTTGACAGTTCAATCTCTAAATAATCTTCATCATTTTAGCAGAATTTTTTGCTTTAAGTAGAAAAAAAGTACTGAGTAGTAGTTTCACAAGGTCTTGCTTTGAGAAGACCAATGTATAATCTTACAAGAAAAATAATTAGGCAGCAATATGTCTGGAAACATGAGTGTTACTGAAACACCACCAATATTTTGAGAAAGACTAAGCCTCAATACAGGCTATCAGTCAAAGTTCAGTTTTTAACACCTCTTTTGCTGAGTAGTTTTTTACTGAGATGTCGGTCTTCCTGGCTGTGCTCAACTGTACTCTCTTGTCATGTGAGAGAATTGGAAGTCATCAGTTTGCTACATTTCCAGGATGGACTGACTACGTTCGGGAGATGACATTTTGTTTTTAGCTTTATTAATACAACCATATCAGTAAACTGACTGGCTCATCTCAAATCCAGAACAAACTAAATTGAGATGACTGAAATAAGCCATCTCTAACATCCTAGGCATACAAAGGTATTGGGTGAGAGGCACTTAAAGGGGGAAAAAAGGCAAAATGCATTTCTGTGGCAACACTTGTTCTGGAAATTAACACCTGGACATAGGCAAAATATCCACTAGTACCAATAAAGTACCCAATAATGACTCATCCAGCATCTTTTTAATGTTTGTGCTAAGTGTTACATACCATAACCTGACAGTGCAAGTATCCTGGGAGGTTTCTGTCCGACTGCTTCAGTATTAGAATATGAGGAGTTGTAACTGATGTTACATTCCAAAAATACATAGCGATTACCATTCACAGAGTTTGACACATTCTTGATCCCATTTAGTCAATTTGAAGGGTTGTACCAGGTACACTTAAGCTTCAGTATTTTTCTTTGAAACTAAGCAAAGAAACAATGACCTCTCCATCTAGAATCATTATAGAACACTCCAGGTTCAGAAAAGAAAAAAGGCCTCTGGCAGTAAGACTTGAGAGAATTAATGATTTGATACTCAGAAGTGGACACAATCTAAAGTTATTGGTATATATTCTTGTGCAAGATTTGCCCTATGAGCTACTTTTAATTTAACAGGTTATTTCTATGTTAAATACTGCTTTACAGTCTAGACTATTTCATTAAAAACTGAACTCTATATTCAAAATTGTGCTCGTCTATTCCCATTTATCAGCATCAGGATAAGTGCTCTCAAACGTTCACCACACCTAGAGATGAAAATGCAGATGTGATGAGTGATTGGATTACCACTTGTCTCTCTCAGAAAGATGTGCGTGTATCCACTGAATTTCACTGATAGTTTAGCGAGAGAGCGCATCTGCCTAACAGACTACAGTGAGGGGGCGGGACAAGTTAGATTTGTCACAAGAGGAACAAAGGCATTGCTTACTAGTAGTTTATTCCTCAAGCATGTCCATATGTATATTTTCAACTTTCCTATATGGCTCCTCTGACACTGAACTGTGGGATTTTTCTAGTGAGCAGTGTCTGTTGTATTCATTTCCCTCTCCCTCAGACGTGCCATATCTCAGAAGGAAAATAGGCAGAGGCTACCTGAAAATTAAATTTTCAGAACTTACCACCCCTGTTGTGGCTATTTTTATGTAGAAAGACCTAATCAGACCAGTTTGGCAGACATACACAGGTTACCTGCAGAAGTTTTACAGAACTCTGTATGAAATATCTGCAAGTAGCACTTAGGGTTAAACTTAAGGTGACAAATTCATTCGCAATGTTACTTTTCTTTTCTTCATATATATACAGCTTAGATGTGAAATGGCCGACAATGTTATTCTTTCTTCCCATCATCACAATTTAGAGTCCTCCTATGGAGTATATGTCAGAACAAAATGTCTGAAAATACATTTTAGAAGGCTATAAATAAAGGAAACAAAGGTGACTAGTATCCTGAATGCCTGGTATCCACTGTCTTCTATCTACATATTGCATGGCTGCAATTCACTTTTCTTTCTGAGAGTTTCTTTTTAATGTGTTTCCAGTGCTCATACTTTAAAGTCTTTCAAAATATCAGATGAAGGATTTCACCCCATACAATGGCCACAAATACTGTGCCTGAAAAGACAATACAACCCTTCAGTAAATAAGGTTAAGAAATGTACAGTAGTAAAAGTATCCAGAAAATGTTGGAGTGTGTAAGGTACAGTGGAGACTAATGAGAATACTGAATTTTAGAAAATGACAGACAAATGTTTAAAAAAAGCAGGAAACCATGTTTGCCTTGAGATTTCACAAAATGCATTATGCTCGTGGTGTTGGGTGCCACAAACCTTTTATTCACTTGTGACTCAATGTTTTGGCATTGAGTGAAGGGCTCTACTGATTAGCACCATCTCCTTAAGGCAGAGGCGGGCAATTATTTTGGGCGGAGGGCCGCTTACCCAATTTTGGCAGGCTGTTGAGGGCCGCATGGGTAGCCCCACCCCTTGACAGGTGCCCCGTCCCCTGGTCACCATCTTGGGACCAACGTCCCAGGACCAGCACCAGTGGGGCACAGGCCGGCAGAGGTCTGTGGAGCCAGGCTGGGCCTCTGCCAGCCGGGACCCTGCGCTCCTGCCACCCTGCTCTGGACCCCACCAGCATTGGCCCTAGGACACTGGTGCGGGCCCTGTGCTCCCACTGGCTCCCCACCCACTCACACCCAGTGCCCCCTAGCCCCGCAGTACAGGTGGGGGGCAGCACACAGCTCTGACCCCCTGCTCATCAGCAGGGAAGAAGCTGGTGCTAAACGTGGGGAAAAGTGGCCCCTCGCCCGCTCGCAGCCCACATGCTGCTGGAGCAGGCACAGGCAGCCTCATGCGGGCTGCAGGTGGCTACAGTGCAGGGCGCTGGCCATGAGGTGGGTGAAGGGTCACTTTTCCCAGTGCTCAGCACCAGCTTGTAACCCACCCCACTGCCAGCCTGGCAATGGGGCAGGTTACAAGGTGGTGCTGAGTGCAGGGGGGGAGAAAGCAGCCGTTCCCAGCCCCTGCCTGCGTGGGGCTGCTTGTGCCTGCTCCGGACAGCCCTGCATGGGCTGCGAGCCCCTGCAGCGCAGCGTGCCAGCCGTGGGGCAGGTGAGGGGCCCCTTTTCTCTGCACAGGGAAGGAGCCCGGGGAAAAGCTGAGCACAGGGGAAGCGGCCCCTCCCCCACCCCACACCTGGTGCCCCACGCTACAGGCGCTCGCAGCCTGCATGGGGCTGTCTGGAGCGGGCACAGGTAGCCATACACGGGCTGCAAGCAGCTGCAGCGCGAGGCACCAGTCGTGGGCGGGGAGGGGCCACTTCCCCGCCCCTTCCCTGCCTGGGGTCCCCCCCAGCCCCCCACACTTACCTGAGCTTCCCGCACTGGGACAGCCACATGCTCCCAGCCCAGAAACCCCGGCTGGGGCTTCTAGCTGGGGCTTCTAGCTGATAGGCAGGGCCAGGTGGGCCCCGCTGTTGTTGGACCCCCACCAGGCTTCCCCTGGGCCCTACTGCCCCTGGTTTCTGTCATTTTTGACAGGAACCAAGGGCAGAGAAATACTAATTTTCTGCATTTTTTTAGGGGCTCCATGGGCTGGATAGAATGGGCTTGCGGGCCACATCCGGCCTGCGGGCCATATTTTGCCCACCCCTGCCTTAAGGCTACAGGCATCAGAAAAGTAATTCCAGTTCCTTTGCTCCTGATCTGCTCAGAGCACCAAGGTATCCAGGGCCTACTTATGCCACAGCATCTGTATTATCCTGCTGAGTTTTGGCATTAGGGGCTCACTTAGCCACATTGGTACCAAGTGCTTCCATGCTCTCAACCTTGATATTGGTGGCTCTGGTTTGACACTCAAGTCTCCCTTGTTAACTTCAGCAAGGCCAGCTGTACCTGAGGGGATCTCAGTTAAATTCATCAAGGCCAGTTGCATGAAGACACCAAAAAAACCCTGTGTTCCTTCTCTAAAATAAAAGCTTTCACTCCCCTTTTATGAGGAGACTGACAAAGCATCTCCCTTTTCTTGCCCTTTCTTCTCTATGATACACAGACCCTAAGTGCTTGATCCTATTGGCCTCCAATACCCATTTGACACTCCAGCCCTACTGTGAAATTAGTTTCACAAATAAGGCTTCTACCCCAAATCAGTCTACTCTGCAATTTTAAGTATGTCAGCAGCCTGTATGTCTGCCAAAGTCTTCTCCATCGCATTCAATTCAGCAAACAGACACAAGAGCTCATATTTCATCCTTGTTTCCAAACAAAGCTGTGATACCCCCTTCTTGAATCTCCACTGGATGATCAGAAGTCATTCAAAGATTACAGCTGAGAATTTCAGATGCACTGGAAATTGACTGCAACAGTTTGGGATAAAAAACAAAAAAATCACACGCTCCTGGACATTTTACATACTGCTTTCTAAGCAGACTAGCTATGACCCTGCATAAAATTGTGGCAGACTCGAGGCTCTTTGTTCCAACAACAAAGAATGCTTAAAGAAGGTCATAAGTAGTTCCCTCAGTGGCATTTGAGTATTTTAATCCCAATATGGCTCTGCTGATTTTCTAAAGCAGTGGGGGACAGCCTCTTTGTCAGGCATGGCACAGATTAGAGGTGTGCCCTCCCCAAGTGCAACTCTGATCCCTTTCCTTTGCTCAATCTGCTGCTCTGCTTTCTGCTCCCTACTCCATATTCCTTGTCAAGTTCCCTCCTCTGTTTTCCGCTTCCCATCCTACTGGCTGCTCTGTTACCTGTCCCCTCCCATATCTACCAGGTGCCATAAACAGAGGCTGCCTGTGCCACTTGTGCCACAGATTAGCCACTTAATCTAGGGCCAGATAAGACTCCTGGATTCTTAGGTAATATTTCTCCTAACCATAGCAGTGATTTAAAACACTGATTACTGAGGGTCAACTAACAGCAGAGACACTGCATGAGGTCTATGGTAACAGAGGTCACAATGCACTGCACACCCTAGTTTCAGTCCTCTGGCCTGTCAAGAGAGGTCAGGGACACCTCTGAAGAGCTTTGTTTTGAAAGCAATAATGGATCTGGTGCTAGAATGGGGTGGCATCCTGGATACTTCAGAAGATTTACATGTAGCCTTGCATCACTGGGGTATTTATTTATGTCAACCAGGGTGACATGCCAAAGTAGACAACATTTGTCTAAGTAACATCAAACCTGCAAGGTACAGTTCATCATTAGGCTCAATGCACCCAAGTAGCAAACATACTTTGAAATGAATATATAAGATAAGCAAAATTACACCACACCAAGATCAAAGCAGGGACTGGGGAGCAGGCAGCTGCCCAGGGCAGGCAATGGTGTCCCAGCCTCCGCTCTGATCTCAGAGTGGGAGCTGGGCAGGAGGCAGCTGCCCAGAGCTGGGGTGTGGGGCTGGGAGACAGCTGCTTTGGAAATGGACTAGCTCTCCCTGCTCCCCAGAGCCCAAGCGTGATGACATTCTGCCAGCCGGAGCTGGTACCCGGGGAGCCTGGAACTCCCCCTCTGCCTGCTGTAGAGAAGCAGAGTAGGGCATGAGTAGCCTGGCACTGAGCTGCTCCTGTTGGGAGCAAATTTGCTCCTGACAGGTGCATGTGTAGACATGCTCCCAGGGAAAGTTTACTGCACATTAGTTTACTGCACAGTAAGCTTACAGTGCATTAATAGCACATGTACATGGGCCCTATGTAAAGCATTAAAACCCCCAATACTATATGACCTGTATTTGTAAGAAGGAATCAATTTCGAGTGTCCTGACTTGAATGATGTTCCAGCCACAACATTTAATATAACTTTTTGCATTTGAACTTAAAATGAAAAATGACTAGATTGTGAAAAAGGGCAGTGACATCCTGTCCTGCGTCATGTTATATAATCCTTTTTTCAAGTGCATAAAAATATGAAAATACACTTACCTAAAAGGGGTGCTATCCAATACACTAGTGAATACTCCCAGAATTTTTCATGGAAACATCTTGCATGTAATGAAAAGGCCAATGCTGGATTAAATATTGCTCCTGTGAGGTTTCCTCCTGCAAAAAACAAGCAAACAGCATCAAGAAAAAAGGGTTTAGCTTTATCCATACTACTTTTGAGAGCTATTAGGTAGTGAGGTATTAAATAAAATGTAAAGCCTTGATCCTACAATGGAAGCTATGCCTTGTTACACTGCTAATCAACAGCATTACAGAACTTAGTTTAATGCTGATATGAAATGAACACTTTTAGTAGAAGTTTAAGAATATGTTCTAGGCATAGCCTAACTCCATTAATATATTTCTAGCAAATACCATATTTAAATCAGTTAAGGACAATAAATTAAATCAAATAGTCTATCTTACTAGGTAGTTTGTATTATGTTTTTTTAAAAAAGCAAAAATCTCTATGCACACCAGTCAGGGAAATTTCTAAAACCTTTCTGACCACTCAGTCTTCTTTGTAGGTAGGGTCCACGCTATGTCTTTGGTTGTATTCTCGGTGTGAACTATATGTTGTCAGTCCTAATTGTTGTTTACTTAAGAAATGTTATCAAAGATTAATTTTACTCTGTTCTTCTGTTCTGTCTACTTAATGATTTAAAACCCTCTATATTAACAATTATGTGCTACTTTATGAAAAGTTAACAACAAATCTCATTCACAATTGAGTTAAATTAAAAGTACTGCTACTGCGGAACCTCAACACAATGAACCGTCAGCTGCCACAGATAAATGTACTTTGGTTTTTTTTCTGGCTTCCCTAAAAAGGTTTAGCCAAATGGCAAAGAGAGCAAAAGCCCAAAGTGAAAGACTCTAGGTAAAGAGCCAGACTACTCATCTTGGAGAAGGTTAGGGTAATAAACCATAAAATTAGTTCCTATGAAAACCTCAATACAGTGAAAGTGCCCAGGCTGCACAGGACACAACTTACGCATGTAACAGCATACACAGGCATACACACACAGAGTGGTTATAATCTCTTACTGCTAAACGTATACTCTACATTTTATTTATGCAATTTTAAGATTATCGCATGGTAAGATCACTACACAATAATAGCGGTAGGAGAAAGCTATAAAATTTGAATGATGTATCACTTAAAGACAGTAAGCCCAAACACAGAGCCACTCTGGAGAGGAACTGGGCACCTTCACCTGCCATTGACTTAAAATGGAAAAGAACGTGCACAAGGCTTTTCAGAATTTGGCGCATAAATAAAAATGAATTATATTATGCATGCTAGCCCCAGTCTTAGTATAACTCTGTATCAGGGGAAACATTTCTGGATGTGTAAATATAGCCTGATGAGTATCTTTCTTATAAGTGGCCATACTACTGAAAAGTTAAAATACTGAAACAGGATTCTGCAGGCTGCTATAGCATTTAGTTATTACTGCTTTTGTCCACCTTCATTTGGTTTGTTTGCTTTTCATAGCTTCTATTTAAAAATCATTTTAAGCTGCTTTTGATTTTTCCTGTCTGAATTAGTGAGCGTAAACACTAAGTCCGCCCTTTGTATGAATGTTAGTGCCCCAAGTCCTCCTTTCTGCCCTTTGTTGATCATTAGCTTCCGATATCTCATTCTCCCTAACCATTTGGCATGACAGCATGGAAATTACTAACAGAAACTTCAATATAATGCTGTGCAGATAGGCTCAAGAAAAGATTAAAAGGATCTCAACTGCTTTCAAAGGGCAGCCTCTCCTTAAAAATAATGAAGTTACCCTAAACTTTCACAGTTCAGAGCTAATGAAAATAAGAGTGTGGAGGAATGAGAGCAAAGATTTTTAAACAAAGAAGAAATTGTTTACAATAAAATAGAGGTTTATCAGGGAATGCAATGCAAAGTTTTTGTAACAGATTAGTGAAAGTGATACAAAGGCTAATGTAACCAGGTGTATTGATGTAAGAATGTATCAAGCTCATTCTGATAAGCTATACAGATAAAGATACATTTAAGTAGGGGTGCACCATAAAAATTTTCTTGGCTGATACTGAGAGCTGATGAATAACCAACTGTATCAGCCAGTGCCAATCCAATAACCAATATTTAGTAAGTGCAAGTCATTTTAAACTACTTACATAAATAAACCATTTTTATTTGTTTTGCATTTATAAATGCACACAGACACACACATACCTACTGCCTGCTCTGGTCCTTGATGAGGAAGGCGGTGACCTCACAGCTCCTACCTGCTCCCGGCACAGCCTGTGCTAAAGTCCAGGACAGGCAGGGCAGACCCCTCATGTGGACAGAGGTGCCAGGCACTTTGGGAGCCCCAGAGCATACCATTGCCTCAGTGTCGGTGGTCCCTGTGCAGCTGAGCTCCTGCAGCCACTGAGGAGAAGCCGCTTTTGCAAAGACACCCAATGCCTGGTGGAGCAGAATCTCTCTCGCATGGTGCCTTACCCCACCCATGAGCAGCCCAACATCTCTGCAGCAGCTCCGGTGCTCAGGTCCTGCTGCGTGCATGGTGTTGCCATGGCAGTGGTAGCAGTATGAGCCAGTAATGGTCCTTTTGTTGCTGAGTGTAGTGCCCTGTGACCATCCCCAGTGTCCCCCTCTCCCACCTGCTACTTGCTAGGACCCGTAGTCGCTGTTGGCTTGAGTCAGTGGTGGGGCACAGGGACCAGACTACCGTCTTCAGGGTGCTCCACGCATGCGGCCATAATCATCTTAATTCTGGGGGGGCACCAGCGGCCACTCAACAACCAGGGGAGGTCCGCCAGTAGTTGACGGGGTGGGGGGTGGTCTGGAAGTGCTGCTGGCACTTTTTTCAGCGCCCCCATAATCACAGGGGGGCACCAGCCAGTGCTTCTTTCGGCGTCTCCACTCCCCAGCCGGCAAGGGCCAATTTCAGGGGGTCACGTGCCCCTCCGTACCCTACCTTCACATCGCCTATGGCCAATGTCATTTCTCCTTTGATCGGTGCTGATCCAATAGCCAACCAATATATCAGTGAACCCCTACATTTAAGTGAATAGAACTGCCTGCACAGAAGTAAATAACAGTATTTATGAATCAGAGAATACTTAGTCCTCATTAGGTTCCTGCAAGTCTCTGTCCAGAACAGAAAAAAAACCTCAATCTTACAAGAATCGGAAGAAAACATTTGATGTGGAGTCAACAACTGAAAAAGCAATGGTGAAAAGGAATTTGTAAGTACAGCCACTCTTAGTTCTGGCAGCAGAACTTTTTAAAATACTTACTAATATATACAACTTCACTCTAGGCAGAAATTCAATGTAACAATATACTCTGGTATTTCTGGTTCATTTGTAACGGCAATAGAGATCAGTTTGAAAAGCACACCCACAATGGCTTATAAAAACAAAGTTTAAAAAGAAGCAATTCAGCTGAATTAAATTCCCAAGGTTTAGCACACCTTTTGGAATGCATAAATAAAAAAACCTTAAAAGCAAACTTCAGCACTTTATTAATCTACGTCAAGGCCTAATCTATTTAGTTTGGGGGTTTTTTTGTGGGGGAGCTAAATTTTTTAAATTTAGCATTTTCAGTATTATGTAAGAGTTAGTTTGCAATATTCTGCTTTAGATTCTAATCCATAAAACCAGTTTGGGGACTTACTTTTCATACTTTTTTACTTTGATGGATTATCTACCTATACATGTAGTGTTGAATGCAGTAGTTAAAAACGTTAAGATTGCAAGGTTAAAGAGTGAAAAGTTTGTAAATATTAGGTTTAAGTTTGCTTTCACAAATATAGTACATCCTCTTTCCAGGTATAGTCTGTGACAGACCCAGAGCTAGAACCCAAATCTTCTGGGTCACAGTTCAATGCCCAAAAGCAAGAGACCATTTTCTGAAAAAAAAACCCTGCCTCCTTCACTGTCCATCTTGTGCACTGAATGAGACAAAGTTCCTGTAAAACAACTCGTAGATAATCATGGAATTAGAGATTGCATCATACTGCTTACAGACAGGGGATATCCATGCACAATCAATTTTAATTCTATCACTTTCTTAATGCTGGGTAACCGATTGTATAAACATAACGTTCTATTAAGGTAGAATCCCTAGGGTTAAAAAGCAAATAAGAAAATACAGAAATTACATTGTGTTGAGCCTTACTGATCCCCTATGCCTGTTAGTACAGTCAGAATCTCAGGGCATCTATACATGTGCTCTGAGGGGATGGGACGCTTTAATCAGAGTAGCTCTGACAGCCTATCTAATTAAAGCACCTGCAGCATCATGTGTTTTCGGTGTCTCAAGCTTCAAAACAGTGGTGGCGGTGCTATAACTAAAGCTTGTTCAGTGAGTTTAGTTAAAGTGCGCCTACCGCCATTTTGAAATGTGGGGACACAGAGGCTGCTACAGCATGGTAATCTGCATGCTCCAGAAGACTCACAGCAGACTCAATTAATTGTGTCTGCTCTGACACATGCTAATTAGCAGATGTCAGAGCAGAGGTCCATCGCGTGTATAGCTGCCCCAAGAAGTTTAGATCTATAGCACAGATCTGTCTGTTATTTTCTCTATGGATTAGCCACTAGAGAGGCAATATGACAAAGACTGTCTTTACGTTTTACAACTATTTGAAACGCAATAGAGTAACATCAGGTATCACAAATCCTATGTTCTAACTCCAGGCTCTGGAAGCTAAGATCATTTAAAGTATACCTGTTTTCAGATAGGTTTTTCCTGATTGGTTCAGATGCAATACTAAAAACTGTTAAGAAGCATTAAAATGTCATTTCTGTGCTCAGAAATTCATTTCAGGATGAAGTTCAAAACTGCCAAACTTCTTAGGCAGTTCTCTACTAACTCAGTCCAGTCTCTCCAGAATTGGTTACAGGTTTTGGCTGTATTGTAGCTCATATTAACTGCCAATTAACTCAGTTTTGAATTTTACTTCGTGTACCCTACAAACATTTGTTGCTGACCCTTGTTTGCCCACAGTTAATGTCATTTACCAGGTGAAATTCCTCTGATGTAAACCTTGTTTTACTTCAGTGTAATCCATCTACATTAAGGGTCTGGCTGTTGATATTATTAAATCAATACCAATTTTTCTAATCTGGACAGTATCTGCATATTTCTTCCAGTGCTGCTGTTTTAAAGTCTTTTGCAA